CACACTCACACACTCACACACACACACTCACACACACTCACACTCACACTCACTCACTCACACACACACACACTCACACTCACACTCACTCACACACACACACACAGGTTTGTTTTTGTGAAAAGTGGGGACATCCCATAGGCGTAATGGTTTTTATACTGTACAGACCGTATATTCTATTGCCCTACACCAACCCTACCCCTAAACCTACCCCTCACAGGAGACTTTGTGCTATTTCAGATTTTCAATACACTCCATTCTGTGTGATTTATAAGCGTTTTGAAAAGTGGGGACATGGGGTAATGTCCTGAAAAGTCACCTTCTACTTGTAATACCTATGTCATACCTTTGTCATTATACAAATTTATGTCCTCATTTGTCACAAAAACGCGCACGCACGCGCACGCACGCGCACACACACACTCTCTCTCTCTCTCTCTCTCTCTCTCTCTCTCACACACTCTCTGGCTCTCTCTGTCTACCAACACAATGATCACATATCTGTTTATGGAGTCACTTTTTTAACAAGTAAAATTCAGATAGCATAATTGTTGTACCTCTACATATTGTGGATTGTATGGGAACTTACAAAATAAGCACACACACACACACACACACACACACACACACACATTCAATTCGTGTATGAACTGCGACCCCATGCACTGTGACCTCAATGTGATGTGGGATTCATGTCAATAATTATAATAATAAATGTATGATGATCAAAATATATCTATATTTCATGTAAAGTTAGTTACTATGAACCATAGCTGAATACATCTGTAACACGTATATGAATGTATTGTCATGCTTTAATGGACATATCCAACCAATGCATTTTACTGTAAAGCAATAACATGATAAAAAAAGATAAATATATATGTGAAAAGAATAATTCCCGTACATTTGTCATATGAAACTTTGAGAAAGGAATGTTTAAAATATGTCACAAATTAAACGATGCCATTTATACCAGTTTCATGGTTTTTGTGGCCTGCGCCATGTTTTAAATGAGCTGTGTGTGTGTAATGTGACGTGAATGAGTAAAGGAGTTCACCCAAAAATGGAAATTTGCTGAAAATGTGCTCACCCTCAGGTCATTCAAGATGTAGAAGAGTTTGTTTCTTCATCAGAACAGATTTGGAGAAATGTAGCATTACATCGTTTGCTCACCAATGGATCCTCTGCAGTGAATGGGTGCCGTCAGAATGAGAGTCCAAACAGCTGATAAAAACAGCACAATAATCCACACCACTCCAGTCTGTCAGTTAACATCTTATGAAGAGAAAATCTGCATGTTTGTAAGAAACAAATCCTTTAAACCACCTCTTCTGACCAAAATAATCCATAATAATTCTTCATCCAGTGAAAACGTCCATCTCCTGTTGTCTCTCACATCAAATTTTTTATATATATATTTTTAACTGTTTCAGACTGTTTTGGCTTGTAAACGGTGATTGATCTATGCATATTTCTCTCCTGATTCAGACAAGATGACTTTTTCATTGAAGAAAGCAGTATTATGGTTAGAGGTCTTATATTTTAGCAAGAGGCAATGGTTTGAAGTTAAATCGCCTTAATGATAGATTTGTTTCTTACAAACATGCAGCTTTTGTCTTCACAAGATGTTGATTTTGATGGACTGGAGTGGTGTGGATTACTTGTGGATTATTGTGATGTTTTTATCAGCTGTTTGGACTCTCATTCTGACGGCACCCATTCACTGCAGAGCATCCATTGCTGAGCAAGTGATGCAATGCTACATTTCTCCAAATCTGATGAAGAAACAAACTCTTCTAGCCTACATCTTGGATGTGTGGAGGGTGGGGACATTTTCAGCAAATTTCCATTTTTGGGTGAAATATTTCTTTAAAAATGAATAATAATGCACTTTGTTTCATAAACACATTTTTAAAAAGTAGTAGGCGATTTTCTGTTTCAAACGAGAACAACTTCCGGGGATGTTTAACACACTAATGGGAGTTAGTTAGTGGAGGCAGGTGTTAAGGTTACTGAGAATCTATACCCCCAGTTTGTAGATAAAGAAACGATTGTTTGTCTGTGTTATAAGCGTGTCTTGTGATATTTTTTGAGTGACTATATTGAA